CATTCTCAACCAAGCCTTTAACACAATGAGATTTTTAGGGGGACATTTTATATCTCACCCATAACAGTACATAATAAATAGCCTTTAACTCATCTGTGTTACAAAAGTAGTAAGTTTGTTGAAATCATTCAGAGTTTCTCCTTTTTTAAAAATCCCCTTGTCAATCCTTCATGGTGATTATTAATGATTTTAGCATAGAAAATGTATAACTCAAACATTTAATACATACTGATGAATTTGTCTGGTTCCCAGTATCAAGGCTCTGTAAATAACTCAGAATTAGGGGCTGGGGATTTAGCTCAGCGGCAAAGCGCCTACCTGGCAAGCGCAAGGTTGTGAGTTCGGTTCCTGGTACCGGAGAAAAACCAAAAAAAAAAAAAAAAAAAAACCTCAGAACTAAAATGATTGGCTCCAACTGAACACCTGTACTGCCTGTTGAAATGAGAAGATTTATCATAAAATGCTGGTCATTCATGATACATTTAGGGAATGTTTTGACATAAAGATTTTGATACAGCTCATGCTTTTTCCCTTGTCTGTATGGTTTCTTTCTCCTCTTCCTTGAGATCAGTAGAGAACCATATTCTTTAATACTTCACTCCAGGGAACTCATATGTGACACTCCTAAAATGAAGATGACCTTCTACAACATTTCTGTCAACTCCATGAGGCTCAATCAGCTTCAGAAGGAAAAGAAGGACCATTGTGACATACTAGTTGAAATCCCTAGTCAGGGGACGCAGGACAACAGTGGTATAAGTCTGCATATGGACAGTTTGGTGAAAAGCTCTGGTTAGATGTGAATAGGGAGATAATGAGATAGAGTGCTATTCATTTAAGGCTGCCTATAGATATAACTGTCCTCTTGCCTTCCAGGCTGTGTTTCTCCTGAGTTGGGTTTGCAGAGATTGAGAACTCCTCTTGGGAGTACAATCATCATAAGCTTCAAAATCCATGGCAGTAGTTTCATTGGACAATGTAGCGATACCCCTCGTGTGTTCATGGAACTTGGAATGGATGGACAGAGTTCTAGGGCATCCACTACATAGCAGGGTACCCAAAAATCTGATATAATTAAGACCTTTGTTTTGATAATTTTCAGTGCTTCTCTTTCTATTGAGTTTACTGAAGTTTCTATCTGTATAATTTTTCATGAACTGAAGCACCTCTTTAACATTTTTTGTAGCAGAAGTTTGCTTGTGACAAATCCAGCTTTTGTTTGTCTGAAAATATTCTTTATTATGCTTTAATTTTTGAAGGGTATTTCCACTGGATATGTGGTTGGCATGTTTGTCTTCTTTAAGTACTTTAAAGTCATTCCCCTGTCTTATAGTTTGCATTCTGTCTAACGAGAACTCAGTTCTATTTCTTCTCTTTGACTCTTGCATAAACGTGTTTTTCCATAGTTGTTTTAAGATTTTCTATCATTAGCTTTTATCAGTTTGATTTGTATATAATTTGACTTTAAGATTATCCTGCTTAGGGACTGCTGAAGTCTCATATCTTAGCTTGTAAGATATGCAGATTTATATTTTTACCAGTTTGGATATTTTTAGTCATGATTTATTGTTTTGTGACTCCAGTTACATGTATGTAAGACTACTCTATATTGTGCCACAGCTCACTGAAACTGTTTACTTTTTAAGCTTAAAAAAAAGCTCTTGCTTCAGTTTGTACATTTTCCATTGCCTTGTTTCAGGTTCACTGTTCTTTTGTTCTGCAGTGTTTAATCTGCTGTTAAGCACACCATTAAATTTTTCATTTTTCACCTCTAGAGTTCCATTTAGTTCTTTTCAGTAGTTTTCATTTATTTCTTCCTTATGGTCATCTTTCCTGTAGATCTTTGAACATTTTATAGTAGCTATGTTAAAGATTTTTGTTAATTCACTCATTTCTGGGTCTGTTTGTTATTGACTGAGTTTTGATCTAGAGGACCATTAATTGATAGGTGAATCAACTCAAACTTGGAAGCTTATTTTTTGTTAGGACACATCTAAAACAGTGTAGTCCAGTCACACAGCTGGTGAATGGCAAAATTGGGATTTGTAAATTGGTCACCTGCCTTCAGAGCCCACGTTCTTACCAGGATTAACCACCAGTGAGAAGGTTTCAGAGGATCTAACAATGTTAAGGGTATACATATGAGTATCTCAGGTGTTAATACTTATATTTTCACCGTCACAAATCTTTAAAGATTCATATTTTAAGCCAATGGTAATGTCTGGCTTACATATGAAGATCCAATATCTGTAATATGTATAGATCTGTCAATCTAGGGGACAAAAAGATAAAAGATACTTCATTTGGCACCACAGTTTTATAAAAGCATAATCATCTTATACCACATAATCAGCAATCTTAATAAATATAATACTATTAATGAATTAACTTTATTTCCCTTTTCATATAAAGAAACTAAGGCTGAAAACATGAAGTAGCTTCTTTGGTGACACACAGCTAGAAAAAAGGTAGATTTGGGATTGCAACCCTGAGTCTAAGAATTATCTACAAGGACGACCATTACAATGTTTTTAAATAAAGAAGTGAAATATTAGAAATGGTAGTGGAATTGTTAAGCAAATCATGATACAAGTGAAAAAGTAACATAGAACCATCTTTTTTTAAAGCTAAAGCAAAATATTTGACAAGAAGAAAAATAGTAGGTGAGATAATAAGTATGTGTTTTCAATATATAAACTATGAAGGAAGACTTTGCTTTTGGTTTGTCCCTACGCAAACACTGGAACATACTGTTAACTGATGATCATATCAAGACAAAACAATCCCTGTTTTCAGTAATTTCCACACTATAATACTTTCTTAAGAGATAGTTTGTCTTTAAAGTCTGCAATTCTTACCTTAGTTCCAAGTGTTCACAAAACTAGATGTGTGTTCTGTATAATTTTCCCTGGAAGATGTTAGCAGTGGTCTGCCTGGTACCAATTAGTTAAAAATATAAATTAAATGATTTTTCTAGGAAAAAATATAGTCTGTTCCTCAACTCAGCAATTTTTAATCATCATGTCAAAATAATTAATTTATTCATACTGGCTTTTAATTTGCCTAAATAGCTATTATAAGAGACTGACTTGGAAGAATAATGTTAAATAAAAAATTATGTGAAGGCAAGAGAACATATCTTTGCTCCCCCACACACACACTTTCTTTTTTGGTAGTGCTAGGGATTGAACCCAAGGCCTTGTATGTGACAGGCAAGTGTTCTACTACTGAGCTACACCCTCAAGCTCTCCACTGCCTTTCATTCTGAAGGCATAAATGTGTACCAGCTGTGTGACTGCAGGAAAAGAGGTGAAGTAAATAAACTAGGCACTGGTGCAGCTTGAGGTAATGTGACTGATACTGGTTTTTTTTTTTTTTTTTTTTTTGGACTGATACTATTTTAAAAACAAGCGAGCTCCTTACCGACTTCAGAGTAGCTTTTTGCTACTTCAGGCCAAGTACTAGTACAAATTTAACCTGGTCCTAAACCTTAACATTCTTCTCCAAAGACTATGTTCCCATAAAGACCCAGAAACTTAAAGACCATGGAAATACAAAAGAAGTATTTTTGTTTAATTCCATTATTTCCATTATTATAATGAAGTATCTCCTTTGTATAAAATGGCTTTGTGTAAGAATTCTACAGGGTGTGGGAAAGGCAAAGCCTAATTTCTCTACTTTCACCCTCATCTGTAGCAGCTGCCCCTAAACTTATAGTTACTGTGGTTATTAAGTAAACTAGTTATGGAGAATTGTTCTGTGTTGTAAAAATTCCAAGAAAAGATATATATATATATTTCAGGGGAAATTTTCAATAGATGGGCCATTCTTCACATTTAAAACTCCATGTCTGTAACACTGTAACCAAGAGAACTTTTTTCCTTTTAACTTCAAATCATTATTTTGTGTTATTTTAAGTATCAGTGTTTACCTTCCTGAAGGACTTAGACAGCCAGATGTTGCCATTTAAGGGTCATTTTTCTACAGTGTTAAAGTTTAAAAATCACGTGAGAACTTGCTTTTGTCAATGTTGTAAGATATTAGTTACATTAACATTCTAATTTTTTCACATTTTTCCTTAAGAAAACTCAGGAAATACAGATGAGCAAAAAATAACACTAAAAATTTTCATTCATTTAAAAATAATCATTAATAGAGAACTCTCAACAAAGGACATTACTATATTTCATGATTTTAAGATGCATATCTTTTCAAATTTTAACATTATTAAAATCAAGATGCATGAAGTTTACTGCTTTTCTTTTTTAGTGGTGCATATAATGATGCTTTTAAATGTGATTATATTTATTGAAATTCAGTAATAAAATATATTTAATTTTTGGTATAGCTCTTTCTAGATAGAATAGCTAATCTGAGGAACAGAAGTTGCTTGTAAATGATTTGAGGAAGCATTTCCAACAGCAAAGTTTCTCTCTGGAACTAGTGTGTAGCACATGCTCAACTTGCACTGGAGACGATGGCCTTACATTCAGGCTTTAGTTTCCAAGGGGGGGCGGGGGCAGGAATACCTTTTTAAAATAATTCCAGTGTCTCTTCCTTTGCAATGGAAAAGTAGTCACTGATGATGGCTTTAAGGTAGAAAATAGCTGTTAAGCTTAGAAAATCTTCAATGGAGTGACTTATACTCTTGTGCTCATGTTAAATAGTTTGTTTTACATTTTAGGTAGTATTTCTATTTTTTGGTCCTTCAAGCCTTTCTATTTTGTAACATAAAATGGGGGGTATTTTACCAGTAGTACAGCTTTCTCAAACTTATGTACATGTTTATACACTTAAATGCAAAGCAAGTAAAAGTATGAATGTGTGTGCACACGATCCTCCTCCTGCCTCAGCCGCAAGTCTTGAGCGCTAGGATTACAGGCATGCACCACAACACCTGGCCTTACCATTTTATTGTTACTGGCTTATTTTCAAAACTTTATTTTTAAATTTTTCAATTAGAAATTTAATAATTTTTCCACTTCTGTATCTATGTGCAGGAAATACTAAAGAATGAAAAGTACAGAGAAGAAATAAAGATGAAAAGCAAAGGTTTTTATGAAAAAGAAAAGCTCCTTAGTAAAGAGACCAGTGAGGAACTCTTGCCTCCACCTGTTCAGATTCAAATTAAAGGGCACGCCTCTGCACCATACTTTGGAAAAGAAGAACCCTCAGCGACACCCACCAGCACTGGGAAAACCTTCCAGCCAGGGTCCTGGGTGCCACAAGATGAAAAGAGCCACAACCAATGAACTGCATTATGGTGAAAATCATTTCACTCGCACAGATATGACTATTTTAACAAATAAAAGAAGTTCAAAACTGAATTATAGTTGCTGGACTTATAATAGTCCTCTATTTCATTAAGCTTAAGAGCTCATTTTAGTTTGCATTAGAAACATGAGATTATAAACTACAAAATCCTAAATCTTTTAAGACTTAAATCCTACACTTGATTTCGTGCAGGATTTCATTCTATTTATGAATTTGCCTAAAATTGATTTTCCCTCCTTAGTTTACTACTTTGAGGAATGTCATGTAGTTGTAAATGCTCCGTACACGTCGGATACTTAGGATCCTTTAGGAACCACCCACAGATCCATCTTGAAGAATAAGGGCAGTGAGCTCTCCCAAATGACATAAATAAAATAAATGAAAAACTAAGATTTTTATCTCTGGAGAACTATCCTTAAGATCCCAGAGAACCAATCAAAATATAAGCTTGGGCCAGGCATGGTGGCACACAGCTGTAATCCCAGCACCCAGGAGGCTGAGGCAGGAAGATCACAGCAAGTTCAAGGCCAGCCTGAAGTCTGTAGCAAGACAAAACAAAAGAAAATATAAGCTTGGATAAAATATATGAATGCAAACACAGCTTCATTAATAAAAGAAACTATAAAGACACTGATGATAATATGGGACAGTGGCTAACAGGGTAGAACTGTGGCTGAAGTTTGAAGAGATGAGTTAAGATTTAGGAGACAATCCATCAGAAAAATCTGCAAGGACAGTAAAGAGGAATGGAATAATTAAAGAGTTCCATCAGAATGAAAGTTACTGTGAAGAAGAAACCTGGGAAGAGTTCTCAAGGTAGAATGCCATTCCACTGATAGGCGGGACTTGGGTTTGTATGAAAGAAAACTTTGGACAGATGTCATTAATTACATACAGACATTATTGTAAAGTGTCATAAACTTCCTGGAGAACACAGAAAAGGATATGATGTTACGTTAATATAGAGTGTTTGGAATAAAATAGTGTTGACATACAATAGGTGTTCAGTATTCACTAAATGAATAAGTGCTCACCAAGTTTTCATGCTCTGAATAAAATGAGGAAATCCTTAGGTAAGTATTAACAATGGATTCTCAAAACATATGGGTTAGAATTTTTACTTAGTATAAGGTAAAAATTGTAACTGCCTAAGAAATAACTACAGAAAAACTAAGTATTCATACTGAAACAAGTAATCCAATGATAAAATGACCATAACATACTTACTGAATGACAAAAAGGCCCCTAAGGGATAATTCCAATGTTCCAGCAGCCCTCTTAATACCGGCTTAAACATTTTGTCTTGCTACCTCATTTTAAGGTAATATTACGTTTTACCATAGGGGCAAGAAAGGAAGTAGTCACTAAGTAATATAAAAGGAGCTATAATTTGTAGTATAATTGAATTGTGAATTGAGAGTAAGATTTCTTAAATCCTGGATTGCAAGAAAAATTTGTGAATGTTTTAACACAATACTGTTTCTCCTGACAAATTCCTATTAGCTTATTAATTGCATTCTATGTACATCTTTTGCAAATGTTTGCCATGTAGTTTAAGTATTAGCATAAGGCAGGATTTAATTTCAATTTTTAGTTTTCATTTTAAAGTACCTGTTTTATATAAGCAGCAAAAGAAAATCAGCCCAGAATCCTTGTGAGAAATGCCTTATGTTAAGGTAGAATGATGGTATCTGCTCACCATTTAGTACAGCAGGTGCTATCAAAGCATTTTGAGATGTAGGAATGAGGTTTGCAATAATCCATCTTTTCTCCTTTTCTCCAGACCAGTGTATGTAGGATGACTGATGGTGCTGTTAGGTGGTATTGGAAGTCTTAAATGTCCTGCATCAAAAATGAACTATAATCTTGGCCTAATTAAGATTTGCCTTTCTAAATAACTATTTAAAAATATCTAGCTTTGAGGCCAGACACAGGCTAAGTAGAATTAAAATATTAAGTACTAGCTTTTCCAACATACGTACTTTATCTGAAAAATAGCTGTTCATGCATTTAAGTTTTCTTATTATGAAAACGTCTTGTCTTTTCAACACAGATTTCAAGCATGTTTTAAAAAATTTAGTCTAAAAGTAAAGCCCTCATGTTAACTTAATTAAAGAGTATCGATGGTTCAGGATGTACCTCAGTGGTAGGCATTACCCAGCCTACGCAAAGGGCCCTGACTTCAATCCCCAGCATAGAAAGGAGGGAGAAGGGAGAGAGGGAGAGGGAAAAAGAGATGGAGGGGAGAAGACAGGAGAGGGGGAGGACAGGGAAGAAAATACACACATTATATCCTCAAATACTTTCTAGAGCTAAATCCTTCCTGGTGTTCTCTAACTGTCATTCATGCATAAAGCATATTTTCATTTTTACAAGAACAGTCTTACCATTACACAAACTCTAAACGTGCAAATAACGTTGCTGGCTCCTGGGTTTAATTTAGCCAACTAGCTATGTCTTAGACATCTCAAGATAAAAACCAACAAAAATGAAAGTAATACTTTTTTATTCCACTTTAACTAAAAGATTTCTGTCATTGCTTTTTAGGGTTTTTTTTTTTTTTTTTTTTTTTTTTCCGCTTTTTTGAGACAGGGTTTCACTATGCAGTTCAGGCTGGCCTCGAGCTCACTTTTATAGCCCAGGCTGACCTCAAACTCACAATCCTCCTGTCCAGTGCTGGGATTATAGGCATGCACTACCACACCCAACTGTCATATATTTCTTAATGTAATTAACCTAGACTCAATACATTTTTTAAAATGCTATCTCAATAACTACACTATTTAAAATATAACCTAAATTTATTTAGACTAGGCTTTTAAATTGTTTATGTTTTGTGGGGAGGTTATAAAGGAGTCTATGGTAGTTTAATTAAAAGACTGAGAAGTCATGCAGGAAAGAAACTTACCCAAGTTCTACTTATATTTCCAAAAGTTTTGGTATCTGACCATGGAATCTTTTAATATGTTTGAGAAATGCAAAACTTATCCTTTATTCCAGATATAAAGTCAGAGTGGTCCTATAACCCAATGCAAACATAAAAGCAACCATTCCTAGACAGGGTCAATTTCCTGATTTAGAACTAGATAAGATGTAAAGTGCCCTTTCCAACTTTCCTTTACTTCATGTGTAAGGAAGAAAAGGGTGAAGCAGTTATTTCAAAATTGGATTTTCAGCTCAGCTTCCTGAGCTTATTTCCAGTTAGCTTGTGTAAGTAAAAAAAAAATTTTTTTAAAAAATGCCCTTATAGCATGTCCAATAGAGTAGTAATACCATGCTGAAGTTTATCACATGAACACCACAGGTCAAAATGTGACACACAAATCTCTATCTTTTGGAAAATATTTGTTAATAGGGAGCCTGGGACAGCTTGTTCCTTTTTTAAATCCAAAACCAGCCATGAAAATGTAACTGTATTTAGTACTTAAAACTTAAGAAACAACATACTTAAGTAGATAGGCATTTTTTGGATAGAAGTATTCTGGATAATGGCATTCTTTCAACAATAGTACTGTACAGTGTCACAGTGAGAGAAGATGGATTTTTTGAAGTATTCCAAACCTCACAGCATTCTGTATTTTATACACCCCACACATACACACCAACATAAACATTATAAAATTCTGTCGATCTCATATAAGCTCAAAAAATGAGAAAAGCTGGATAACAAATAGTTTATGAAACAAATACAACACTGGCATGTGTCAAAACAATAATTATAGAAAAACACTTTTAAATACCCTTAGATTATCGCAACAACCAATTTTTATTGGTTCTGCTTTAGTGACTAAATTATACCTTGTGCTTCAACATTTTTACTCTAAAATAAGCAAAACATATGTAAGTTCTTTCCATGAATAACTTGACTACAAACACCCAAACATTTTAAATCTTAACCCAGTTTTTCATAAAATGGGCTCTGCAGACCCATGGGGGCTTGTAGTTCTATATAAGCAAGTTTTAATTTAAATAATAATATAAAAACATATTCTAGATCACCTGAATAACCAGCTCGTAACTAAAAGTTGAATTACTCATGTCTAGAGTTGCAATATGTTGACTGCACTGACTTTAAATAGGAACTCAGAACCTAAAAATGATAGCAGAAAGTATTGTTCAAACTGATCCATAAACATTCCCAGGAGTCCTTCAGTTCTCAAGTTTGAGAAACACTGTCCCAAACTTCCAGAATCAAGTTTAGCTACAAATAAAATGCATAATCTTTTTTTTATAACCTTTTAAAAAGTCTAATTTACACAACAGAGCTAATTTAAATTACTCTCCCCACCAAAAAGACAAAAACTCAGGACTTCTATAAAAAAGTATCAAATTTATTTCATAGTTTCATTTTAAATTAGAACTGTGGGATAATCACTGTAACTTAAAATTCATCATCAGAGGTGCAAAAAACATTAATAAGCTATTAAATGCTGCAGTAAATACAATGACTGGATCATGCATTTAGAAAAGCCATGTTTAATAGTCAAAAGTTCTGGTTGTACTCCTTAATCGAAAGATCTTTTAGTCAGAACCTAACTATAGCACATACTTATTTTGAAATACTTTATTCTGTTCGTGCAATTATTATTATGCCCAAATTTTTCCTAATTTTAGGCCTTTCTTTACCACTTATGAAGTATGGCTTAAATATTAACTCTTTAAGAGCTCTTTAAAAGAATGAAGTGTTAATTTTCACCTCAACCTGTTTGACCAGAAGTACAGGACAGCATTACCACTAAGTTAAAACAAAGAATGGAATAAAAACAAAAATGTTACATATATAATGAGCAAATTATCTGGTAAGACATTTTAACTATTTCACAGTTTTAGCACAAAAAAAAACTGCTTCCAAGATATTGCAGTGTTTGGCATTTTTACTGCAAGTTTTAAATCATAGCGTTACTTAACAACTCATCTCTAAGAAAGTGGCAGTGTTTGTAAGTACAAAAATTACATCTAGAAGGTGGTACTGTACATAGTCAAAATAAGATAGTTCTTTCAAAAATTAGGTTTTAAAAAATGCAGAATGTCTTGATAATTACCAGTTGTCTCAAAGGCTAAAATAAGAAAAATAAAGAATAGATGTAATTATTGATCAATATTATTTTGCTTTGAAAAAGTCAGAAGTGATTCCAAGAAACAAGCAATGATGATAAAAAAAAAAATTTGATTAATATACTGTTTCTTTTAAGCCCAAGCAGACTTTCACTTCAAAGAGGGCAAGTTTGACTTTAACATTCTTAAAAGTACAGGACTCTGTTTTAAACCACTATTTGAATAGAGTTCATAATATAAAGTCATTTGTTTCCACAGGATGTTTCTATTTCAGAATATAGGTAAAAAATGGCAAATGACTAAGTCAATGATAAAGAATTTGTACTACAGATTGAATATTCCTTTTCTGAACTACCTGGAACCAGAAATGTTTTAGATGTTTTCAGATTTTGGAATATTTGCATATATATAATGAGACATCTTGAAAAAATCGTTTGTTTCTTATAGCCTGGAAGAAATTTTGTACATTTTTAGAGCCTCTGTATTTTGACTGAGACCCATCAGAGGTCAGCTGTGGAACTGTCCACTTGTGGCATCACATCTGTGCATACGAAGTTTTGGATTCTGGAGTACTCTGGGTTAGGCATCAGCGATGCTCAACCAGTATAATCATTACAAATTTGTAACAACTGCCAATGGTCACCAACAAACATCTATGCCTGGGCCTAAAAGCTACTACAGTATTGAGGTCAGATTCCAGAATGATTCTTCTACTTGGACAATAACAACTTGCATAAAATCCAAAGAAACCTTATGGGGTCCTTCCAAAGCTTCATAATTTCCCAGATGACTTTTTCCTGCTTGCAGAGCCTGTTCATCCCTTCAATCCTTTTTCAGTCGTTTAGCTTTTGCAATATTTTCTTGACGTTTTTGTTTCTTCTTTTGCTCCTTCTCCCTCGCTTCAATCATTTTGGCCAATTTCCAGGACAAGACAGCACTTGCTAGGAACAGTGGAGTAAGGGCCAAAATAACGGTTGTAAGGAAACCATATGGGTCCTTTGCAGCCCATTCCACAACATATTCAGCCCAAGCCTTTACATCGAACATCTCTGTAGCAGTCTCAGGAAAACTGGAGTGAGTAGGAAAGGGGGAAAAACAGAGGGGGAAATCATATGGATAATCAAATTAAGAAAAAAATGGTATCATATACCAGTTAACTCAGAATTCCATTATCACTCAGTGTTTTTTTAATCAGTGCTATTTTCATAAAGGCTAATATCTCCACCAATGAAAAAATAATTCTACTAGGACAACAGAATAGTAACTTGATATAAATTTACACAGGATAAAAGTAAAGATCATTTAGATTTTATCATAAGGACTCTGTAGTCTCAGAGGCTTCCTATATGCAAGACTGTAGCAGTAACCTTCAAGAACCTTGAGTTTCACAAACTCATTTCAGGAAACAGCCCAATCCTGTTTGTCATTTGTTGACATAATTCTTATTATTACTGAACACTAATTTAACAAAAGTAAAACTCAAATTTCAAGTTTCAAAAGGATAAACCACTGATCATGAGAAATGCTCTCAGAGAAACAGAGATGATAGGTGGCTATTTCCAGTAATAAAGGAGAGGGGGATGAAACCCATGATGATGTCCATATTTATACACCAAAGAGGTATAAGGAAGAAGTAATGTGTTATTTTATGCCCTTTCAGCTTTGAGGACCCATATTGAAACATAATTTTAAATGAAAAAAAAAGCAGCCATTACAAGTGCCAGGAGTTTTGTTCCGTTTTTGAGTTGGTACAAAAGGGCCATCTTGTAAATGAGAATGGTGAGGACTTGAGTGACATTTCCTACTTGCTCCAGAGGCTTCCTTACCTTTCATGTTTGTGCCAACCTCTATTGAAAACAGAGAATACGAATACTTGGGTAGGGAGTGGCTGTACATATAACCACTTAAAATTTCAGCTGGGGTTACAAAACAAAACAAAGTCATCTACCTTATGCTTGAGCAGTGACCTCTAACTTTGTCCTGGGGGTCAATCAACTTCAGATGGTTGTCAGTCGTTCTCTTTAGTTTTAAGGCACACTCCTGAGAAGTTTAAATTCTACACAGTGGATGAGTAAAAAAGGATAAAGACCATTTAATTCGCAACTTTGAGGATAACTAAGAAATTCTTAAAAGGGAATTTTCTAAATTCTATACATGGAATCTGTAAATGACATGTAACATTGCCTATCAATTATAAGCTTCTAATTCCTATTTTTTTCTAATTTGAGTTTACCAGAATTGCAAGTGCCCTGTAAGAAAATATTAATTACTGAAGGGTATTTTACTAAATTATTTACTTCAATAATAAATTTATGACATTCACTGACTTATAAAGACATGGTGGCTCTCACATTAAACAACCATATACATTCCTAGCACTTCTATTTCCTATACTAAAGAAAGAGGACATTCATTCATGTATTTATTGGATTAGGTACATCGTTGTAAACTCAAACACTTCATCTTATTCTTTGAAGGTTGTCAAATTATAAAATTCCAGTCCTTAGGAAAATCAGAAAATAACCAAAACAAATTATAAATTATCTACAATCCCATCACCTGAAGGAATTTGTCACTTGTTTTAACTCCCTTTTCAGTTCCCTCACATTAAAAATAAAAAATGCCCCGCCTTTAAATGAATATGCATCTAAATGTCTAAGACATGAAACACCCTAGGCCCCGACTTCATAACGCTCCTACCCATAGCTGGAACCAGGTAACAATAAGATTGATCTTTCTTCTCTAGCTCAGTATGAACTAATGCAAGTTTCAAAAAGAGGCAAAACAGCTTTGCAAAAAAATAAAACGGAGTGAAGGACTTGGTTTATAGCCATGTTTTAGCCACTACCACCAAGAAAAGAATTAGAGTCTACACTCCGCACCTGTTTTGAACCCAGACCCCCGTGCTTCCCACAATTTCGCGAATAAATAGTGCTCTTCCGCCCCAAAAAGTTGACAGGGCTCCCCTACCCACCAGCCCCCCGAGGAACCTGAAGCAGCCGCCGATGGCACTGGACGGCCAGCCACCTGGTCCTTGGTCTTCCCCACTTTCTACGCACCGCACAGCACCGCACCGCACCCCACCCGACCCCGCTCAGCTCACTGTTCTTCCCCAGACGGCGTTGCCGGCGCAGGAGCCACACCGCCCCCGCCCCTGGGTCCCAGGAGGCTCAGCTCTGGCCGCCGCGGGCCGGACAGGACTCCCGCAGTAAGGGCCCCAGAGGAGCCCGGCCGGCCCGCCCAGCTGAGCCTCTGCAACCGGCCGCCCCCGTCATCGCGCCCCGCGGGCTACGACTCCCACTCCCCACTCACCACCACACCGGAAGCAGGAAAGCGGAAGTCGCGGCCCTCGCGCCCCGCCCACAAACCGGGCAGCTGGGCGTGAGGAAGTCGCGGGGTCAGTTTCCGGCTGCGCCGTCGCCGGGTGGGTCCCGGACCGCGGAGCCCAGGGCGCGGGGGAGGGGGGCGGGCGGCGCGGAGACTTCCGCGGAGCGGCAGGTGAGGCCGCGCGGAGCGGGCGGGTGCCGGGCTCCGGGGGAGAGTCGAAGGCCCGCGCCCCCTGTGGGGACTGAGGGGTGGGCGAGGGGGCTGGGGCGGCCGAAGCTGCTCGGAGCTCCGCCCTTGCCAGTGTGAGGGAAGCGACAAACCCTCCGCTGCTGAAGCCGGGCGTGGTGGAGGTTCGGGCGGGGGTCTTCGGCCGCGGCGAGGACGTGCCCCCCATGTGCCATTCGAAGCCAAGGCGAGGCTCGCAGGACTCCCCGGGGCTCTGGCGAGTTCACTCCGGTTCACCCCACCTCACGCGTCTCGTGTGGTTGAATAATACAACCCTGCGTGGGAGACCAAGCAGCCGCTGAACCTGGTTACTACGGGGAAATGCTGCCGAGCTGTGGGGGAAAGGTTTTGTTTTTGTTTGTTTTTAATTTAAGAACCTAACTCATTTCACAAAAGCATGATCGATACTTGCCCAAAGTAAACTTGATAAATAATTAAACTGGCAGACCGTAGAGTTCCCACAGAGGTACTTGTTCTTTCAGTACACAAAGGGATGCAAAAGTCAACAAACAGAAAGGGTGAATGAATAGTGTCTTATAATCTACAGGAACTGAAAGATTAGTTCTAGTTTGGTTGGTGCTCAAATTTTGTGATTGCTTACACCGAACTGGTTGCTCTGTTTGACAACCTCTGACAAATGTTGCAAAACCTCTTCGCTGTTGTGTGCCAAATAAAACAAGTTTTTAATTCTGAAAGACTCTAGAATGTTCTTTTGAAGAGCAAGCTGCAACATGTATAACTAGATATAATAGTAACTATTATTTACTATGGAACAGGCTTTGGCAGTTAATCTAAAGATCGTTGGGCATATGTTAATGTTTGTGTGTTGTATTACCAGCAGTTGTTTTCTTACTCGTTCTTGTTTGAAAATCCAGGTGATGTTTAGACCTACCCTTAGCTAGAGTAGCCACAAAAGGCAGAGCCAGTCACGAGATTGTGTCGCTGAAAACTTTGCTAGAGTAGACTGATTTCTTAAAACTTGCCCAAACTGACTCCAGGAAGGGGTCAGAATTTTATTATTTTAATGTCCTTCACTCCAGAGGCCAGTGTGTAGGTCTGTCTTTTAATTTTGGATAAACCAGCCCCCTCCTAGTAGATACTTCATCTGCTATGTCTCTGATTAAAGGCATAAAAGAAGAGCACCTCTGTAGCTCGTTAGCTGTAATCTAATAGACCATGTCTTCATGGTCTAATTTTACTAATCCCCTTTTCAGGGCAGGTGGCAAGCCTGTTGAGTAGCTTAGGAGTTGCCATGGCCTAGCTCCTTATTGCAGTCTATACGGCCTCAACAAGGGGTGTTGTTAAGATTGGTTCTAATACAGTGGACTCCATTTTATACTGAGGAGTCTTAGCTTGTGAGTCTCAATACTGATCTCTAGTTACAGATGATACCACTAGGAGCGGTTCCTTCTTCTCTATGTAGAAAGTATGCTAGGTGACCTCTCTGGTGTCCTTTCATCTTTAAAAGTCATCTCTAAAGCATACTGAATTGGACCATTTTTTTGACTGAAGCTTCATAAGCAGCAGTGTAGTAAGGTTCATTTAGTAGGAATATCTGGTGATTTTCTTAAAGTCTTATTTATTCAAAAAATTTTTAACCTGTGGTTTTTATTTTCTGAAATGTCTTTCAGAGTACCATTTTTAAATAATAAAGAAATGTTATGCTATATTTTTAAATCGTACATAAATTTAATCGTACATAAATTTAACCAAATTAATTAAACCTTATGCTGTTAACTAAGTAGGTTCTGCCTTTGTATAAGGGTAATTTCTGTGTAGCCAATCACACCGCCAGCCTGGTTAGCACACATGTACTCTATTGCAGTTATATTTTATGGAGCCTTACAAATTCTAAGCTTTTTTCACTTGAGAAGGTAAAGCCTGGCAGTCTTGTACCATTTGCTTTAAAATTTTTTTTCATTGACAAATAAGATACGTTCCTCTTTAACCAATGTAAGAATTGTGTATGAGTGAAATCTGAAAAAGTTACTATTATAATAATATTTATGCTAGATTAAAAGACAGATCTTTCATCTGCATATGTGCCTCTTGCCCTGCAGTAGCTCTTCTCATATTTGACTTATTTTGATGGAATTCATTTCTTCCCTTAGTTTTAGCTCGTGAATTGTTTTCCTTCCATTAAAACAATGTATTTAATAAATACATTTATTAGTAAACATTTATGTAGCTTTAAGAAGTAATCAAGTTTCTAATGATATTTGGAAGGTCATATGAAGAATTTTGTAAAAGCAGTTTATGAGTCCTTACCATATACCAGTTACTGTACTGGGTGCTTCTCATTTATTATCACTAACTCTTAGACTGAACAACCTTACAGAAGTATATTCTTGGACCCATTTAACAGATAAGGAACTAGAGACTTTAAAAGTACACCAGGATTCTAAAGAAATTTCACAAAAAAACCCTGCTCTTTTAATGTTCAAAGACTTGGCAAACATGTCTGTTTCCCAAAATGAAAGTATGTGTTTGACTCTATACTTGTTAGCTGAGGATGACTAAAATCCTTCTGTGCTTCCAAATTGCCTGTTGCCCAGGTGGTGGCAGTATGTCTCAAAGAGCTAGTCTGTTGGGAATGTTTCCCAGCCTTGCTAGCTAGTTTGTGTCTCCATCCCACATAGGTGACCTATCAATTCCCCTGGGCCCTTTTACTATTACAGTGGTGCATTCTGCTGTTGCCCTTGCCTTCTGGGAGGGTCACACTGCCTTCAGCCAGTTTCACTATGAAGTATCTACCAAACTTTTCTAGAAAAGTCATACAGGCTTTTTTCAATTATTATTTTTTAACCATTATAAAATTTTACTTGTTAGAAAATTAAATTATTTTAGCTAATATTACTAAGAAATACTTATCTGAATTAGAAGACGTGCTCTTATGTATAATTAATCAATCAGGTAATGAAAAGCTTTTTGAGAATTATTTAAAAGAGAATTTTCAAAATAACAGGATTCACTAGCAAAGAGTGCAAAGTTACATAATTCAGAAGGAATGTATCTCAATATATAGCAGAATAACTAAAATTCGGCCAAGAATTGCTTGCGATATTTTTTTCATGTCTTTGTAAGGCTGCTGCCTTTCTAGAGGTTTTAGATTAAGTGCTACTTTTCTCAAAAGGGCTTCCCACCCCTATCACTTTTTTTCCTCAGCACTTATTTACTGGTTTATTGTCTGTTTTCCCACTAGAATATAAGTTGAGATCAGTTATCTCAATAAGTAGAACATTGTTTTAGATAATTGGCTTCAAGATAACACATTGTTCATTACTGGTAAAACTGTTAATATTTGAAAAGTCATGAAATAATGTAGATCCTGGGTATTTGCAAAGCTCATGTTAACGTACAAACTGTTGTAAGATATCTTGACAGTGATCAGCGAGCTGCCAGAAAAAAAAAGGTCTAAAATGCAATGAGATGTTAGGGGAAATCTTTAAATAATTATGGTTATCTTATTAGTGAAAGAAGTCTAGTTACTTTCCAAGTATGTAAAATTATTTACAAGAAAGTAGTGATTCAAGAAGGTAGTGATTCATCATCTTCATTGATAAGATAAAAGGAATTAGTCCTAGACTGTAGGTGCTAAGATTTAAGATAAGAGCAAGCCAGTCTAGAGATCTAAATACAGATCTTTGAAAATGGGATAAGACTGTGTATGTAGATTAGATGCTCATAAAGATATTTTCCAGCCTTTTGATTCCCAATGCAGATTGCAGGAGAACTGCTTGGATTCAACAGCAGGTGCCTCTTGTTAATGATTCCTTATTGCCTGAGTATTTTACCATATATTTTAGAACCAGCTCCGTGTGTTTTTTTAATGCTCAGTCAGTATAGAAATACATAATATTGCAAGTAGGTAGTCTGCTTTTTTTAACACTGAAACTGTTTAAAGTGCTTCATGTCCAGAATGCATTGTACTATAGTATTTTCTGTAATAAAGTTTTTTACATAGGGCTGCAACAAACAATTCCCCTTTAGGTAGAGGGTACCTTTTCAATAAATAAAATGGTCTAATTCCTCTGAAGCTGTGGATTGCAGACCTGTTAAAGTTGTAATAACGCTAAAACTGTATTGCTATATGATATTAAAGAAATTATCTTCTGTGTCATACCATGTCCTCTATATAAAGTCTCATGTAAGATATTTTAGAATGGGATGCTAAGAAAAGTTTGGCAGCCTACTTTTATCTCTGATTGACTGTCAAGAAGCTCAAGAGCCAAATTTGAAATGCTAATTTACTATCCATTCTTACCTGCATTATTTTTTAAGTACTGAAGCTTGAACCCAGGTTCCACAATGTCGTGCTGAGCTATACCCCAACATCCTGAATTTTTTTTTAAGTATATTTTTCCTAGAACAGATATCCTACATCATTATTGTATTGTATCCATGTAAGAAGACACTAAGTCCTTTGTGAAATAAGGTATAAGTTACCTATAGTATTAGAAACAGAATTTTGCAGAAACCCCTGATACCTAAAATTAGTTACTGGCTAGTAAAGTTCTAGCACTGGTCCTAATTTTTGTTTATTTTAATATCTTTTAACCATCCAGAACCACTGGTTCTCATTCAGAACTAGGGAACATAGGAAGTCATTTGGAACAGCATCCTATTGTGTGATTCTATAATCTGTTTTCTTAATATCTTGCCGAATATATGTATATATTTGCAGTGTAGTTCAAAAAGTGAACAAAAATTTACTGGTGCCAGGCTATAAATACAGTTCCCTAAACCATCACAGA